TAGAGTACGGAAGTATGAAAATTTAAAAGAAGTTGAAAATGACTATTGAAACGCACACTTCTTTACCTAACTCATGTATTAATGGATGAGGAGATTTGAAGTATTTTTTTCAAATTTAAATACAGGCAAAAAAGTGCGCGTTTGACTTGCTCATATACTGTCTGCTGCTGTGGAATAGTTCTAGCGACGTTTCATTACTACCTAAAGCCCCACATTCCCAAAAACATTTCCAATTGATGGTGTGTTATAATGCAATTTTTCTTTACCCAACTATTGTGTTACTCCTCTCGTCATGACCAACGTAGTCATCTCAGAGAGAAAGCAGTAGGGTGGTTGTTGCGTGCTGTACCATCAGAATTATTGACGATTACTCCTGCCTTGAGTTGTTACATACAAAGTGTTTTTATGTTGTTTCATACGTGAAGTTAACGATTTTCAGAGTTCAATAATTACTTTTTTGTGACAACTTGGCTTGCGGTCTTGGACAAAGTTGTTGGTTATACAATTTCCTTTGAGAATCTCAGACTTGATGGTGTGTGTACGTTTACAACGGCACTTAATGGCGAAACTTTGAAGCCGCGGTATTTCTCCATACATGTTGATGATTTTTCCCATACAAATTTCAACCCGCATTTGAAATGAGTGGATTTAGACCAATTTAGGCTCAAATGCGGACCAGAGCCTCACGGTGGAATAGGGAACAAGTGGCTATGTGACGCAGAGGATTGTAAAAAAGTTTTAAAATCCTGGGCACCCTATTGGGCAAGCAATCCCGAGCAAAGCCCAGCAGATATCAACATCAAACTGAAATCATAATTTGATTTCAGTTTAAGCAGTTGACAAATTTCCCGAGCAAAGTCTGAGATCAAATGGAAATCTAAATTTGATGTTGTGATTTCGCTGATTACGATTACACAGGTTGCTGTCGATTTGGTCGTTTTAACGGTTATAATATCAAAATTGAGAGCAAAAAAATCCTGTGACATCACATTGAAAACTATTTCTGCTATCAGTGAGAGCAAACTGAAAACTCAATTTAATATAAATTTTTCCTGTTGATAACAAAACAAGTCTTCATTTTGATGTTATGCTAAGGCAATGAAAGCAAACCCGCAACAACAAATGTTTGAAAAGCAAATGTACAGCAAAATGAAATCAAAATTTGGTATCAAATTTGTCAATTGCGTAAACTGAAATCAAATTATGATATCAGTTTGATGTTGATATCATAACTTGACTTCAATTTGCTGTCATTTTGATGCTGGACTTTGCTCGGGTTGATATCTAATTTTTTTTTCATTTTGCTGTTTGCTCTTCAGAAATATGTTGTTGCGGGTTTGTTTTCATTGCCTTAACATAACATCAAATTGAATACTTGTTTTGTTAGCAACAGGAAAAATTGATATCAAATTTAGTTTTCAGTTTGCTCTCACTGATAGCAGAAATAGTTTTCAATGTGATGTCACAGGAAGATTTGTTTGCTCTCAATTGTGATATTTTAACCGATAAAACGACCAAAACGACAGCAACCTGAGTAATAATTATCAGTGAAATCACAACATCAAATTAAGATTTCAATTTGATCTCAGACTTTGCTCGGGATGGCTCTCTTTCGTTCAGGTTTTACGCTTCTAATTGGATTTGCAATCGGTAGAGAAAGTTTTTCAATTTTTCGCTTTCTCGCCACTTTCGTTCTACTGGTACGTGGTGAGTCATTGGCATAGCTGGCTGGCACTCGAGATAGGAATGATTTTATTTTTCCAATGACTGGTAAGCACCGAGCAAATTGGACATATTTTAAATTTAATGATATAGGGGAAATGGCTCTAATGTTGGCCTATGGATCTAAGATTGGGCTTGTCGCTAAAAATCTTCTATTTATCAATTTTATCTCGATAAACGCGTTTTTTCTATCAAAGCTATCTCAGAATAATGAAATTGATATACTTTTGACGATTACTTGTGAAAACTCTTCTAAAACATCAAATAATTAGAATTATTGAATCAATTTTCCCTTGACGATAAAGACATATCGAGGGGCATCTACAAACAATGATAACCAGTGCGTATGAAATTACCACGAGTTATTGCGATTATTAAGCAATTATCATACAATTATTATAGGCTGGTTACAAATTTATAAAACACTAAACAATTATTACATAATTATGCAATACATACAAACATACAATTATACCGTAATTACATACTTCGTGCTGCATCGAGTTAACAGATCTTGCTCGCAGCTAAAAAATCAAATACGTTTCGATGTGCAAATTTTCGCAACATTGGGCTCTTATCTTCAAAGTATGATATGGAATAAGAAAACTCAAATTAATTAATCCATTGGTAATAGAAAACTTTGAGAAGCTGCTGGACAGAAATCCTCAAACAAGATTCATGAGTCTCTATTACGAGTACATGACACTGGAGATTGGCCCTTCTTCATTCAATTCCTCTCGTGTTTGCCTCCAAGAATTCTATAGTTCCTCTGTAAATTTTGATCTGACCATGTTGCAAGAAATCCGTGGAATACCAGATAACCATCGGTCGATGGTTGTTCCCTTAATTTTTGCAAACAAGTACCACCATGTTAGTAACAATAAGAGTTTTTTCACAAATGGGTCAACTATAAACGCTTCCACTGGATTTGGAGTATTCAACGAATTTCATAGCGCCTCATATCAACTGCAAAAACCCTGTTCCGTATACGTTGTGGAACTAGCAGCCATATTTTACGCAGTAGAGCAAATTTCCTCACTACCATCTGATCACTATTTTATTTTTACAGATAGCCTTAGCTCGTTGGAGGCTATTCGATCAATGAGGCCGATGAAGCACTCCTCGTATTTCCTGACCGAAATCCGAGCTAAATTGAGTACTTTATCTAGCTGCTTCGATACTATCACCTTAGTTTGGGTCCCATCTCATTGCTCAATTCCGGGTAATGAGAAAGCGGACTCGCTAGCTAAGGTGGGCGCTATGGAAGGCGATATTTTTGATCGACAAATCGCCTTTGCGGATTTTTTTCAATTACCCGTCCTCACCAACTGGCAACAAAAATGGAATGAGAGTGATCTTGGAAGATGGTTACATTCTATTCTCCCACAGGTGTCGAACAAGCCATGGTTCAAAGGGTTGGACATGAGCCGTGACTTTATACGTGTCATATCAAGGCTCATGTCCAATCACTACTCGTTAGACTTGCATTTCTTCCGAATCGGGCTCGCAGGCAGCAATTTGTGCGCTTGTGGTAGTGGCTATCACGATATCGACCACGTGCTTTGGTCATGCACCCTCCATTGTGTTGTTAGATCCGAGTTATCCGCATCCCTCACGGCTCGAGGAAAACAACCCATGCGGCCCGTTAGAGACATCTTGGCGAGCCGAGATCTCGACTATTGCAATTTAATTTATGTATTTTTAAAACGGATAGATCTGAGGATTTAGTAGTTAGTGTCATCTTGTGTTCCCCCAAGCTGTTAGCTGCCCATCGGTGTACCCCCATGTTTGTCTTTTTTATCAGTTGGTCGCTTAGTTCGAGATCAAGAGCACATTGTTCTCCAAACCTTGTGTTCTCAATCCCTACCCTGCCATCCATTTGTTACAATTTGTTACCCCTAACCTCGAGATAGCCGCGAGTAATCGGCCCCCGCTTTACTAACGTTAGTTTTAAGAAATTTTGTAATCTAAACAATGAATATCGGCTCCGCAAAGCTACGCCAAATGAGCCTGGAGAAATAAACGCATTATAAAAAAAAAGAAAACTCAAATTTCGGGGAAGTATTGTTCAGCAACAGAACAAGTATTGAAGGTTTTCTGGAACAATTTCACGAGGAAATTTGTTGTCGTGAGCTTTAAAATAAAATGATTTTCAATGAGGGCAAATCGGGATTGATTTTTAAAATGTTACCATCAGAATCGTTTGTTGGTTCGATCGATAAAAATGCTCCAGGGCGTAACATTATCATGCCGTGTTCTAATGTCACGGCAAACAACAAACTCCGGTTGGTGGTTATTGGAAAATTTTAAAATTTCCGTAACAAAAAATAACTGGATGACACCTGAGTTGTTCCAAACTGGTCCATAATAACTTTGTTCCAGGAGTTCGACGCTTTGCTGCTGAACAACTGATAACTGTTCAGCCCATCATCTAAACGATGAACTCAAAAGTGATTATGGGTTGATCACAGTGTATTTTCTGCCTGCCAACGTAACCGTTGTAACTCAACCGAAGGATTAAAATGTGATCCAAAGTATTAAACTACGGTACCAAGAAAAGCTCTTGGTCCGTGTGATGGCCTGCGAGAAAGATAACAACACCGATGAATGTTTGAAGCAGATCTCGTTAAAAGAAGTCTGTTTTTGGGAACATGAAACCTAGGCAGAATTACACGAATCTTGGATGAAAATTGACGATGATGAAGACGGCATTCCGCTGGCGCAACTAATGGACTGGAGCAATAATCGACTATGAACGACACCGTGATCGCCCACAATGTGGAAAAACGATATGCTTGTAAATATATAAAAGCTAAAAAATGGAACCAATGTTTCCAATTCAGAAATAGTGCATACAGTTAATTTAAACTTTTTATTCTACGTTGGAAGTTACGCATACTATCATTGATACCCCGTTTCAAAGTGCCTTTTATATAAGCTGAATTCTTATGTTAAAGATGGATTTCTTCTAGACGGTTCACATAGTATGTGAACGATCCTTTAATTGACCCCAAGTGGTGCATAGAAGGTTAATGATGACTTCAACATGAAATGCATATATTCCTGAGTGAAATCATCAAATCAAATGACATTAATTTAAATACTGTATGTATCAGTCATACCAAGCAAAGGATAAACGAGTACCTCATAGAAAATAAAAATAAAATTTTGAAACACTACTAGGAGGTCCATAATAGGCCAATTAACCCTTAGCTATATTGCATAACAGCATAACAGGTCCCTCACCAACAAATTCCATAAACCAATTTGACACTTACCGATCTCTTCTCATTAAGTCGTGCAGAATGTTGCCTCCAGCTATAGCTTGCCTTGCCTCAAAACGATCTGCCTTAACATAATCTGGCCGAGCATGCGTCTGTGTGTTCTAACAAGCGATGACATCATAATCATCATCATCATCATCATCATCAGCATCAGCCTCATTCATCCACTTGCATTTTCCGTATCGTTTGCAAACAGCAGGCAAGATTTTCACTTTCTTCTTCCTTGCCCTCGGAACTGAATTGACTCACGGAGTGTTTTGATGAACCCACTCGAGTAGCATTTGGGGCCGGTAAGGTGGTTAGGAGGGAAAGGTGTTGCCAGAAGTGCGTCCCGCGTAGGTGGATTGTAATTTGGTGAGTTGAGTAAAAATAGCACCGTCTCATGTTTTCGTCCGTCCGAAAATAGCCCATTCGCCGCGTGTCTTAGGAATTCGATTCAAAACACTTTCTCCGCTTCTGGTAGAATGTTATTAATAGACGTCGTCGTCATTTGAATCTGTTTTTCCGAGGGATGGGGAATGGGAGGTATTTCACCGTGTGGATAAAGACATCAGAACGAGCGAGAAGATGAGCGTCTTTCGTGGCATTTTTTCGCGAAGGGAAAGAGATGCCTCGGGTGTCTAATTGTCAGTTAATAAATTAGCCCGTCTCGGCTTACCGCCCATCGTCAGTCAGGGCTCTGAAGATTCATTCATCACTGCGCTTCAGCACGCAATGGACGTCGGGCTGCGCTCAGGGGGGAGTTGACGACATAATTAAATCAACCAACTGTTTATCTCACGGAACGTGATGAATAGACCAATTAGGGAAATTGAATCGAGGGAATGAAAACGGGAACTTCACTTCTCTTGGGGACTCATCGCAGATGCACTCACTACATTTCACTAGCCACAAACGACTGAACCGCGAAACAATTTATCGTGCACTAGATTCAGAATGCAAGAACGGTTAAGAACTGACCGGAATCTCGACTAGTGGGTGGATTACACTTTCAGCACACTACTTTCCAAGGCTTGTTCCCACAGCACTGACTTGATGCACACTGCCTGAACTTTCCCAAACCGACGTCGTACCTCTACTGTTCTAGCCAGTTTTTATCACCCTCAATGGAAGCGCCAGCATCTCACTCTTACACACACCCATCACAGCACACCCAGCCCAGCCCAGCCCAGCCCGGCCCAGCCCAGGGTCAAAGCTTCTACTCTACTCCAGCAGCAGCAGCAAAGACAGAGTCTAGGTTACGCTACCGGGGCCCCTGGTCTAGTTACAATACCGCTTCCGTCAACGTGCGAACTGGGACTAAGCCCAGAAATTTAGAGCAAATTCTCGGATGCTTTCACGAGCCGCCAAGAGCCGGTCTCGTCTTCGTCGGGATTCGCGATTCCCGGCTATTGCTGCTGCTGCTGCTGCTGCCAACAAACTCCCCAACCTACCCTCCCGGTTCCCCATTCCCAAACGCAAGGAAACATCCGAAGTCATTCTGCCAGCCAGCCAGGTTGAATCACGGCAAAACCGAACTGCTTCCATCTCACTCACCCACAGAACTGTGACACTTCGGAAAAGCTCTCCACCACGGACCGGTGCGGGGCAGTTCATGCAGGAATGAACACACGTTCGTAAATTTTTCCCAGCATCTAGCTTCGTAGGAGAAAACGAGATCTGATTTTCCAGTCCAGCGAGCGAACGCACCTTGGGAAAAACTGGAAACTGGGAGCGCCCTGGCACGAACAGTGCCGGAACGAACCAACAGCGACGACAGGGCCACACGAAGGATCACCGATGCCGATGGGTGGTGCATGCGCGCTCGATGTTCGCACACCAGCGAAAGGACGGGCACACACGAGCGCGTGAACGCGTCCTGCTGACCCGCCAGCGAGAATGTGATGGAATCTCTACCTTTCAAGGATAAACGTTACACACTGTAGTCGATGCGGCCACAAAGATACATCAGCTGGTTCTGTTACAAATATACCGTTAACCGAGTTTGGCGATGTGATGGAATGTTGTAATGTTGCGCGTTGCATGATGCGATGTTGACGACGATGATGATACAGGTGAGATCCAATGTGGGTGACATTGGGGGACGTGCTGGCAGATTTTAAGGTTCGCGATTGAATTTGCCAAGTTGAAATGCTCTAGCATATGCATTTTTCAAATATACACAGTGATAACAATGGAATCATCTCAAATAAGATAGGGGTCATTCTAGCTCAAGTGTTTAGAAAGTTGTGGTCAATGTCACCGATTTTAACCTAACTTTGTTCAAATGTTTTTCTCTAAAGCGCTTGGTTTCCCCTGGATTATTATTATTTTTGCACGCAAAACAAATGTCTCTTACATTCAATGTAAGGTTGGATTTATTTCATTCTCTGCAAATGTTTCATACCATAGATGTAAGCATACAAGTACACAGCAAAAAAAAAATGTTGAATATTACATCGAAACTGCTGCAACCAGGTCAATCCATCGGTTGTGTAATATCAACTTGTTCGATGTACATCGATTTTGCGAACAAAATTACATCCATTGATGTAATATTGTATCTGCTTTTTGCTATTACATCATTATTTCATACATCAGCTTGAATTACGTTGATCGATATTACATTTTTTTTATTACTGAGATACCGATGCTTCGAGTACCGTCGCACACGATGAACGAATATAAGAGACATGAAGGTAATATCAGTAACCTTGGATTATTATGGAGAATTAACAATCATCAAGGACAAAAAGTAAGAGGTTGTATCCAAGACACTACCGTATATATGACGTAAAATTACGTACTCGATATCAATATTCGGCGACTGTGTTAGAGAAATCACTTTTTCTCATCACGGAAACGCCTCGTGCACAAAACAAACAGAATTTTTGTTTTATTCAATAGACAATAAAAATGCGCTATTGACATAGTTATATGTGGTCAAAACCTGACCACTTTTTGTAATGCGGTCGATTTTGGTTTTAATGAAATTGCACCCCCAATATGTTGCCGAAAGACGTAATCCTAAGCCAATACCAGTAAACCTTCCCAACTTAATGCCAAGAAGGAAAAGATCTCCCCTATTGTGATAACCACTTCCCATTTCCATGCTCTTCGCATAGAACATTGAACTTCGTTAAGTTCAAGTTTTCTTTTCCGGAACCCTTTATCGTACGGAACAATAAAAATAAATATTACTCAATACACCATAATTACTGATAGAAGCATTTAGTCAAACTAACAAATTTGCTTTTATTATTATAATTATTTGAACAATTTATGCAGAGCAATCATATAAGATGTATTTTATTGAGCACCCTCTCAGATTTCAATGAAACTTTCTGGATGTGTGGACCTTGACTAAATATGTCACTTTGCATACTTAGTTTTTCCAAAATTTATCTAGACTAACATTTGAGAAGGGCCAAACTTTTTCTGCCGATTTTTTTCAAAAAAATATTATGGAAAAATGACAACTCCTACAAAAATGTGTTGTATGGATGACTTTTAGGAAATTGACCAAATTACCGAAAAAAAAAATACTGAAAAATTTTTTATTTGAGACCTACACTGAAAAAAATCGATTTTTAAATTTAAAGTCGATTTAAAAAAAAATGGCCGTGTTTGATTTGGATGAAGCTTTGTCTCAAGATAGGTAATTATGTTTACTACCATCCGTCCATACATTGCGAGGTGGGCACTTTTAAGGAAAAAAAGTTTTTCTTACCAAATCTTTTTCATGTCTGAACTGATTTTTTTTTTTATTTGCGATTTTCACACAAAACTAAACAAGTGAAGCTCGAAATCATCTCAGAATCCAATGAAGCTCAATTTGCGATTCAATTTTGTCTTGTCATGTCATGTCATGTGTTGATCATTAATTTTACATTTTCATGAATTATACAAATACATACATTATGTATACCAGTAGAATCAAGCAAAATGCAATGTTTTGGTCGCAATTGTGTAAATACAGTGAAACCAATATTAATATCTTTATATTTAACAAAAAAAAAAAAACAAGTACGCTTCTTTGAGGGACATCATTAACAGGCGTTTTTGAACGTGTTCTTTTTGTCCATTTCTAAACTCGGAAACAAAATCATTTGTTCTGGGCATAGGTCTACTAATATCATTGTCATCCAAAAATTCCCTAACTAGTTTTTTTTTGTATCATCGTTGATCCCATGCCAACTTCTTTTGTTGGGTGTGCTTAGAATACCCTGCTCATTAACAAGGCTCTTCACCTGCCTCGTTGGTGCGTTGAATTCTGCTACAACTTTATTCACGGACCAAGACTTTGGCAATACTGGTAATTCTGTTATCTGATCTTTTCTGTCAGCTGTATGGAAATTGAAGTTCTCCTTTAGCTGCACAATGATTTCTTCGTATGCCTCTACTTTGCTAATGTCTGCTGTATCTAGGCCAAATATTTTTTTGCGAACTGCTTGTGTAATTTCTAGAGATTTTATTGAACGATAATCCATGATCCTCATGTTCCTCGATGAAATTGGCGAAAAATTCAACGTTTCCACAAAGCCATTAAACTTCTCAACATTGTATGGGCGTTACAGATCATCTGCTGATGGAATTGACTCCAATGATGGAACCGATGGTACCTATTTGAAGGAAAGAAGAAGAAAAAATAATAAATAAGTGCAATTAGGAGGTTGCAGTTAAAAGCTGATAGAATCTTCAGGATGACTGTTCTTACCTAGCTCATCTACGGATTGATAGTCACTCATTGAAGGACCTGGATCATCACTATGCTGCTGTCCACTAGTTGACGGTTGGATATGGATATTTACTTCATTTCCAACCGATCGGTGTTTTTTTCAAAACTGGACTTCTATTATGAGATATCACGCTACGGCATGACTCACAAATGCTCATCGTTTCATCAATTTCGTGGTTATATACCAGAGAATGTATTTTTTCTACCATCGTTGACGATATGGCCCGTAACTTATTTCGGTTGCATCTCGGATTATTTATATTTGCACAACATTTCAATCCTTTGAGCCATAATTTATTAATTTGGTCCATGATAATAATTTTACTACAACTTGTCTTCACAAACCTTAGTTTTAATAAATAACAGAAGGGCATATAGAATTTTGATGCGATACGTTGACTTCCCAAATCGTTGTTGATTCGAAAGAAGATCTCAATTTAAATTTTATTCATACCTAATTATTTATGGATAATTTGAGCTAAGAATTCTAAGTTGCTATAGGAGTATCGGATTTTGCCTCAGTAGTAGACAATATAATCAATTATATTATTTTCTAATGATATAAGCCCTTTTCATATGGAATTCTTGATTAATCCAATTGATTAGTTGCTGATTAGACTAAATTGAATCACAAATGGAGCTTCATTGGGTTCTAAGATGATTTTGAGCTTCACTGGTTTAGTTTTGAATCCAAATCAAAGATGGCCATTTTTTTTTAAATCGACTTTAAATTTTAAAAATCAATTTTTTTCAGTGTAGGTCTCAAATGGAATTTTTTTTTCAGTATTTTTTTCGATAATTTGGTCAATTTCCTAAAAGTCATCCATACAACATATTTTTGTTGGAATTGCCATTTTTCCATATTATATTTTTGAAAAAAATCGGTAGAAAAAGTTTGGCCCTTCTCAAATGTTAGTCTAGATACATTTTGGAAAAACTGAGTATGCAAAAGTGCTTATTTAGTCAAAGTCTACACATCCAGAAAATTTTATTGAAATCTGAGAGGGTGCTGCCAGCTTCGCTTCGATTTGGTGCGAAATGCGTCTATACGTGTACTAATTTCATATAATATAAAAATCAAAAGTGCTTTTCAACAACTAAACAACCTGTACTCAACTAATAAACTGTGTTAGCGCTACTGTGGAAACTATTTTACATTAAACTAGGTTTAGTGTTAGACTTGTCCAGTTTTACAGATTTTACTCTGCTTCTTTACAAAGCTGAATTAACTAGTCGAGAAAAGTGATTTATGTTCACTATTATTAAGCCTCTACTCAGCGTTCTTGTTGTATAAGGGCATGTAAATTTGTAAATTCGTCTCGAGTTCGATTCCAGGTTCCGGTGCAGTGTAAATAATTTTGTAGTGTTGCTTATAAACTATTTTCGATTAACTTGATTCGCAATAAAATAAAGCATTAGCATTAGCATTATTGACCGCCCACGGTTGCTACTCTGTTATTGCCAGATCAGC